CTGGGGCGTAAGAATGGGGAGGGGAGGGGCATCCCAGGAAGTCCGCTGTTAGTCGGGCAGGAAGCATACCAGAGCCATTTGGTTGCCATCCTCAGTCTTCCCTGGCATGTTCACCAGGCATGAGGCCACGTCATTGAAGGCTTCTGCGTGTCATAGTTTTGATGAGGAGAGAAGAGGGTAGAATAAGATGTAGTATACCTAGGGTGCCACAGTCCCATCTCTCCTCCACAACTGGGCTTCTCCAATCCTAACTCCCCCAGCAGCCAGACTGAGCTCCCTTCCCTAAAACCCATCAGTGGCACCCATGTCACTGAGCATAAAGCAGCATCCTTGTGCTTTCAAGGCCCTGCCAGGTCAGCTTCCCCTCCCCATCGCAGCCCTATCCCTGCTGCCCTCCCCTCACTCGCCATGCTCAGTCACACTGGCCAGGCAAGCTTCCAGGCCCAGACAAGTTTCCTTTCCAGGGCCTTTGCAAGGTAGTTTCCTCTACCTGGGCCAATCCACTGCCACACCCCCTTGCCCAGGTCTTGTGCCCCTCCTTCGGGTCTAAGCTTGCCTGCGGCTCCTCAGATAGGCTTCCCTTAACCTTCAGGCTAACAGGGGGCCTACTGTGGTCCTCTTGTGCATCATATTACTCTCTCTTTTCAACTGTTATCACAATTCATAATTAAACTCTCATTTGTTATAGTAGATACCTGCTGTTTTGTCAACCCCCAGATTTCCTCCTGTTTTTTTCGGTGAAAGAGTTCCCGTCTTCCCTGTGGGTTACCCATTCCCTGTAGCTAGGTGACACTGACTTCTTCAAGCCCCACCCGTAACCCCTCTTCAAATAGGGGTGGGCCTGCCACCCAAGCTTGGCCAATAAGGAGAATCTCATGCCCCTAGCCACAGTGATGAGTCCAAGGATGGGCTCTGGGTGAACAGGGCAATAGAGCTCTTTATCTGAGAGAGTGCATCGCTCTCCTAGGAGCCTGAAACTTCGGGGCCATCTTGACCCCCAGAGGCTGCTGGAGGATGCGGTCAATAGAGAGAAGCAGAGACAACCCAATAGCGATGAAAGCAGCAGCGCCAAGATCTTGGCTTCTAAGTACCATCCTCCACAGAAAGGACTAGGCTCCTTGGAGAAATGGCTGATTCTAGGACTTGGGCAGAGAAAGTATAAGATGAGCCAGAAAACAAGGAAGAGACATCTTGTACTGGAAAAAATAGGAAGAGAGCTCAAGGAATGGTGGGGATACGTCAAAGGGACACAAAAGCTTGGTCAAGGGGAGTCCGCTGGTCAGATTGGGGGAAGTTTGAGTATCAACATAAACAATGGCAGCAACAGAGGATACAGTCCGCTGAAAGTCTGATGAGGAACGGGATATTTACATAGTTTCAGAGTGCCTCCCCACATAGTACTTACTACAAAGGGGTAGATGGTGATTTTACGGCAACCATCTCACTCAAGTGATTGCCGTGAACATCATCAGTAATGCAACAAATCAGAGGCATGTGCCACCAGATAGGACTTCAGTGCTATTCCTGCCAAAGGTACATGACATGAATGTGGTCATGAGGAAACATCAGACAAACCCAAATCAGGCGCAACTTACAAAACAGCTGGCCCATAATCTTCAAATGTAGCAAGAACATGGAAGTCAGGAGATCAGCGTAGCTTCGGCTGCCCCTGATGACCTCCGCAGGCCCCCCAGCCATGGCCAGCAAGGGTTTGCCGGACCTGAAGCAGCAGGTGGAGGGGGTTGCCCAGGATGCGGCCCTGGACCAGGTGGCCACATCTACCCAGAAAACCATCGACAAGACTGCTACCCAAGCCTCTGAGACTTTCTCAGGTCTGGGGGAAAAATCAGGCCTCCTGAAGTGACAAAGGGGAGTCATGGGTGACTCCTCCAGGCCCTGAGCTCTGGGCAGCTGCTATACCCTTGGCCTGATGCCTCATTAAAGCATATGTTCCAAAAAAAAAAGAACATGAAAGTCGAGAAAAAGCTGAGGACTGAGGAAACAAAACAGGCTAGACAAAAAAAATACACTGAGTGATTCTGAGCTGGATCTTTTTTCCCAGGAAAACATTACTGGGATAATCGGTGGCATTTGAATGGGGTCTGGGGATTAGATGGTAGCGGTGTATGAATATTGATTTAATGATTTCCATGTTTACCTTTTGTCCTTTTGTGTAAGAAATAAAAACTAAAATTCAGGGGTGAGGGGGCATCATTTGGCAACTTATCCAATTATTCACAAAAAAAGTTTTATACTGTGCTTTCAACTTTTCTGCAAGTTTTTGTTTTAAATTTTTAAAAAAGAATGAAGAACTAGAGGCACTTTTCAGACAAAAATGATAAAAGTTTACCATCAGCAGAATTCACTAAAAGAAATTCTAAAGGACATACTTCAGACAAAAGGAAACCAATGCCAGATGGAAGGTCTGAGATGCAATAAGCAATGAAGGAAAAGAAAGAGGTTAATATTGGGGTAAATATAAGAACATAAAAAAAAAGTTTATAGGGTTAAGAAAGGATGAATATGCATTACCAGGACAGCATGTAAATCGGAGGGAAGGGATTAAATGGGATCAAAGTGTTCCAATCACAAAGGACCATATATCTATATGAAATGTCCAACCAGGCAAATCTATACAGACAGAGAGTATGATTAGTGGTTGCCTGAAGCTGGGGGGCATGGGTTGGGGGTGATATCTAAGAGGTTTGGGGTGTCTTTTGGGGGTGATGAAAATGTTCTAAAATTGATTGTGGTGATGGTTGCACAATTCTGTGTATGCTTTAATACCATTATACTGTACATTTAATGTGGGTAAATTTTATGGTATGTAAATTATATCTCAATAAAGCTGTTTTTTTTAAAGTTCAACATGCAAAAACAGAATTCCTCTATATCATCAGTACAAAATAAGAATTGTATTAGAAAACAAGATACGATTCACAATAGCAATAAAAACTATAAAGTACCTAGGAATTAACCTATTAAAAATGCAATCAATTTTGATGGAGAATCTTTGTAAAGGATATATCTTACATAAAGGAAAACTTTAAGAGATGGATAAATTAATGGCATGCCAGTAAAAATGCCAGTAAGATTTTTGAGGACCTAGATAAACATTCTAAAACGTATATGAAAGACTGGGGGCTTACTAACAGACTCCAGGGCATGTTTTGGATGCTGTTGTCCTCAGAATAGTTTTGAGAACTTTTAAGAAGGATTCTTACCCTCCCTTTATAAATATGAATACATATTTACAAAGCCATGGTAATTTATTTTAATTGCAATATGGTTTCTATCCATGAACCAAAAAAAATATTTGGAGATATAACTAATTGAGGGAAGATCTTTACATCAAACACATCACAGAGATTAATTTACAGAACACCTGCATGTCAGAAGTGAGCACAGGTGCCAGATAAGGCCCCATGGCTTTGCTCAGGTAGGGACCTCATTCAACAGAGATGAGCTGAGCCTTGAGACTGCCTGCTCCACTAGGCAAACGTTGACCCCAAAGCGAGGTCTAAATTTATCAAGAAAGAAAGAAGCATACATTTTGAAAGGAAGATATAGTTATAATTTGGCTATAATAAAAATATTATTCTATGGAGATATTACAGTTAAGGGAACTGAAATTCAGAGAGATTAAGTAGCTTGTCCCAAGTCACTCAACACGCAGAGGCTGAGCACTGGATCTCCTGGGCATGATAAATAAGTATGTTGCATGTTATCCGCTGAACGCTGTTCCTCTCCTCTCCCCCTCCTCTCTCCTCCCTGCCCTACAAGTCTGAATACAAGGTTCTTCCAGGACAGCGCCCTCTCTAGGGCTGTCGCCCTTGCCATACTCACGCTCAGGGACACTTTGGAAGGCTGTGGTGCTGCTGCAGGTGGGGAACACCAGCGGGAACTGTCCTATCTCAGCACTGGCCACTTCCCTCCAGCTCTGCTGATTTTCCTCCAGGGGCATGGTGGGGGTGGTGTTGCCCTCAGAATTATCTGGCTGGCTACTCAGTGTCAGGGTGGACACGTCGCTAAAGATGAGGCTAGAGCCCAGGCTCAGATTCTCCTTGGAGCCCACTATCAGGGTCATGCACGAAGATGGAGGAAAGGCAGAGTTGGGTCCATGGATGCGAGAGTGCAGGCTAATATCATCCTGGAAGCCAGGAATCAGGGTCAAGCATGAGGCCTGAGTGACGGTCATGTTCACATCAGACCTGGCATTGCTATTTAAAGCCACATCGATGTTTCCCTTGGAACTTGTGTTCCAGGGGGTACCAAAGGCTTCTTTTGAAACAGACCCAGAGATGTCATGTGAAACCAAAGTGATGGTGTCCTTGGTGTTTGGGATTAGGGTCCCACGGGAACCTGGAGCCACACTCCAGTCCAACTTGGAGATGGTTCTGGAGCCCACAGTGAGCGGGTGATTGGAGTCGGAATCCAGAGACTTTGAGGCTGGAATAAGGAGCGCTTTTGAGCATGGCCTGGAGATGCAGTGGCCCAGAATGAGGGCTTCTCTTGAATAGGACTTTATAAATGGGTTGGATTCAGACCTGGAAGGATTGGAGTTATTCTGACCCAAATCAAAAACCTTGCTTGAGTAGGAGCTGAAGGCCTCCTCAGAATTCAGCGCAGAGTGGTTGTCTGAGCTCAGACCCCGGGCCTCGGTAGAGCCAGGGCTCAGAGTGAGGTGTGAGGCTGGACGTAGGGCTCCCTGTGAGTTAGGCCTTGAGATGTGGTTCAACTCCACGCCCAGGGCTTCACCGGAGTGGGAAGTGGTGATCTGGAGGGAGGGTGGAGCCGTGGCCCTGCTGTCATCAGGTCTGGGGATGTTATCAGACACCAGGCCAGGGGCCTCCTTGGAGACAGGGCTCAGAATGTGATTAAGGGCTGGAACAAGAGCCACTCCAGGAGTCAGGGGTAGATTCAAGATAGGAACCAGGTCTGTGTCTGGGGTTGGCCCAGAGATGGTGCCAGAGCCTAAACCTGGGGCCCCAGTGGACTTGAGACTGGGTGCATTCTTTGGGTCTTCACAGAGGACCAGGCTAGCCCTTGGACTCAGAGCCATGCCTGCCTAGAGGTCTCTCAATGCCACTGCCCCCTTCTCTCCAATAGCTGACTGTTGAGCTCCCTGCAGAGTTCCTGAGAGAAAGAAAAGGCAAATTCAGCCATGCCTCAACTGTTAAAATCTTTCCACAGATCCCCACTGTCTTTAAAATGAGGCCCTTGTGTGACTTACAGGGTCCTCCTTGACCACACCCAGCCCACCATTCCAGCCCCGTCCTACACGACAAAATATTCATCACATTTTATTCCAATGGCTCAATTAGTGGTCTAGCCCCTTCTAGATGTGAGGGGCAAGAGCTGTGCGTATCTTAGTCCCTTGGGCATCCCCAGCACCTAGTGCCAAGTACTTGGAAGGAAGTCCACAAACACTAGACAAATGAGAAACTTCTCCCCGCCTTAGAAAAAAGGAAGGAGGAGCCTCTTTATCGGTCACACTACTTCCAGCCAACCCCCAACTTGCTAAAACTACTCTGCAAATGGCTGTGGCCCTAGATTCCCAAAGTAGCCTTGGCAGAGCTGCCCACCCCCCACCCCCCCTCACAGTTTGCCTATTCCGCATGGGGAAGGCTAAATAGAAGAGAACGTGGGGTGATCATCAAAAACACAGCCTTGCCTCAACCCAGCAGTCTGATTGCTGGGTGAACTCCCTAACCCCCACCCCCACCCCACCCCCACACCTAGACCACAGCTTACCTGCATGCATGATGTTCTTAGGCAGGAGTGGGCCCCTGGGAGGAAACACAGGAGATCAAGTGAAGAGTGGCTTTTTCAGTATTGTTATAAAGTCTACAAGTCAGGCATACCCATACAGAGTCCCTGAAGTTAGGTGTTGTTGCTGCATTACACACTTGAGGAAGTGGAGGTTAAGGAGAGGAAGGTTACCCACACCGCTGGCCCTCAGGGCAGCCACCCGTCCGCCTACCCTCCATCGCTTCCCATGGTCTTTGGGACAGCATCTTCAATCTTTAGCAGCACCCAAAGGCCATTCTGTGCCTGACCCCAACTCCCCTTTCACCCTTCTTGCCCATCTATACTCCCTTTCCTCCTCCTTTCCACCCTCCCTCAATTCCTTTGAGTTTTCCAGAGAGCCAGGCTGCTGGGGTAGCCAGGGCCTTCCACAAGTTGAGCACCCCTTTCTCCAGCCCCCTCCCGGGCTAACACCTACAGTTTCACCACTTCCAATTTCAGCTCAAATGTTAGAAGCCTTCCAGGTCCCCCAGACAAGTAAGGTCTGTTTGTAATTCCCAAGGCATCTGGCCCATTTCCCCTTTCTTGGCACACAGTATCTGGTTTCCCCCCTAGACAATAGGATCCCTAAGAGTCTAGCACAGCACCTGACACACAGTAAATGTTCAATAAATAAGCTTGTTTCATCTTTTTATCTCTTCGTTTACTCATCCATTCTTTCACTAGCTGATTTTGTCACTCATTTACTAAATGATTTAGTCCACAAACTTTGCCTTTTAGTCCACTTAACTTGCCTTTGGAAAGGTCATAGATTTGGAGTCATGCTGTCTTGGGTTCAAATCCCAACTCATCCTCTTACTAGTATTAGTGAACTTGGGAAATAAGAGGCTTCCCCCTCTGACCCTCATCCTCCTTGTCTCTAATATGGGGAGCACAAAGCCTGCTAGCCAGGGTCAATGCACATCGCCCACCTCAGGCCTCCTATAAATGATTGCCATTTGTTCTGTTACTCTCTTCCAGGCACTGTGGGCAGAGGCGTAAGGCCCGCTGTGCATTGGGAAATGTAAGGCAGAGCACGGGGGTCTGCCTTCATTCCCACCAAGCAGTTCGTGCACTGCTTTGCCTCCTACCTCAGAAGCAGGAAGGGTTCACTCACTGTTGGCACCAGAGAAATTTTACCCTGAAGCCAATTAAATTTAACATTCCAGGGCTCCTTGCTTGCATCGTCCCTTTACAAAGGGACTGAACTTAATTTTGTGTTCACAATTTTGTCTTCTTTTACTTAAAGAGGAGCCTCAAAATCATAAATAGCTTCAGGCTCCAAAAAACACTGGATCTTCCTTGGTCACCCCTTCCACCTATGTATACTGTACACACACACCCACACACACACATCATAGTATTCAAAGAGAGGCATTTTCAATCTAGAAAATATATGAGTCAGGTCCAGCCTATGAGGCAGTGAATAATTCTTTGGAATGCCTAACTGGCTTAGGCTGTGGAAGAGAGTAATTTGTACCCTCTGAGACAGGTGCACAATACTAGGTCACTGAGTAGAAAACCACAATTCTCAAACCTCGCTGACCCCCCGTCTTCCATGAGAAAAGAGCAGATCTCCCCCCACTTTCTCCTGTTCCTTCGACCCTCCTCCATCCTGCAGCAGGTAAGCCAGACTTTGGAGCTGCCTGACAATGACTGAGGCAGCCCACATTTACCCTCCATTAAAGGGCCATCGTGCACCCTAGCCAGTGTGCTCAGTTGGTTGGAACATTGTCCCGTGCAACAGCAACAAATCAGTATCTCTCTCTGTATATCTCTCTATCTCTCTTTCTCCCTCCTTCCTTCCCTCCCTCCATTTCTCTCTCTAAAAAATCAGTTTTAAAAAAGGCCATTGTGCATTGAAAAAAGAGTGATGGTTCTTGAGGGGCTTGAGTGGGACCCAGGGGAACTAAAGGAACTCACTACTATCTTGACAGCCACATGCTACCTTTTGGCCTTTGCTCCAAAACCCCAACCCACAAATGGGGAGGGCAGAGGACAGCCATAAAACAGCTAGTCTTATCCAAGACTGAGAGAATCATTGACTGATTCCCATCATGTCTTCTCCACCTCAATGAACCCTTCCTGCCCTTTGCTGGTGTTCTCAGGAGGAGGAGCTATCAATGGATCTTCCAGTTCCTCATTGAGAGCATGTTTATCAGATGTTTTGGCCTGGAATGTGTTAGGCACTCATGTGAGTACATGTGCACACACACACATGCCAGTGCACACATACATCTGGCATTAGGACATCTTAGATCTAGAAAAGCCAAACCAGAACTTGCCATCTTTTCCCCAAACTGGACCATCCTATTCTCTTCCGTTGAAAGAAACTGGCACCATTATCCAAGCCAGAAACAGTATCATCCTTGATAACTCTCTTCCTCACTTACTGCATCCAATTTTAGCCAAGTTCTGCTCATTCTGGCTCCAGAAAAGTTCCTAAATATTTCCCATGTCTCTGTCACTACTGCCAGACCCTGGTGAAGCTCCCAATGCCTCAGGGCTGGATTTTGGAATTACCCTCTCGACAATGGTTCCTGAATCTAGAGATTGCACCCAATAAACCATTTTCCAAATTGAGCCACAAAGATCTTCAAAATTTCATTCAGCACAAATTGGTAGTTACAAAATAGTCACAGGATATAAAGTAAAGCATAGGGAATATAGTCAATAATATTGCAATAACTATGTATGGTGCCAGTTGGGTACTGGAAATATTGAGGGGAACTCTATGTAAAGTATATGATTATATAGCCAAAAAGCTATACACCTGAAACCAATACAAAATAAAATTTAAAAAAATATATTGCATTTAACAGTGTAGTACTGGCATAAGAGTAGACATACAGACAAATTAAATAGAACTGAGAGTCTAGAAATAAATCCACAAGTCTATGGTCAGTTGATTTTTGATAAGAATGCCAACTCCATTCAATGGGAAAAGAACAGTCTCTTCAATAAATCATGATGAGACAACTGGATATCCAAAAGAATGAAACTGGACCTCTTACCTCACACTATATATAGAAATTAACTCAAAATAAATTTAAGACCTAAATATAAAAACTAAAATTATAAAACTCTTAGAAGAAAACATGGGAGTAAATCTTCATGACCTTGGATTTGGCAATGATTTCTTAGATATGACACCAAAAGCACAAGCACCAGTAGAAGAAAAAATAGATTAGACATCATTAATAAAAACTTGTGCATCAAAAGACACTATCAAGAAGTGAAGAGCCCTGGCTGGTATGGCTCAGTTGGTTGGAGTGTCACCCTGCACACTGAAAGGTCTCGAGTTTGATTCCCAGTAGGAGCACATACCTAGGTTGCAGGTTTGATCCCCAGCCCAGTGGGTGCACAAGCAGGAGGCAACCAATGAATGTTTCTCTCCCCCTTCCCCTCTCTCTAAAATTCAATGAACATGCCCTTGGGTGAGAATTTTTTTTAAAAAAGTGAAGAAACAACCTACAGAATAACAGAAAATATTTGTAAATAATGTATCTGATAAGAGTTTAGTGTCCAGAATATATAAAGAACTCTTACTTGGGGTGGTGAACACACAATACAATATACAGATGATGTATTACAGAATTGTACACCTGAAACTTATACAATTTTATTAATCAACGTTACTCCAATAAATTCAATAAATAAAAAATATACAAATAAAAAATTTTAAAGAACTCTTACAACTCAACAACAAAAAAATAACCCAATTTTTAAATAGGATACTTCTCCAAAGAGATATATGTGTGTATATATATATATGGCCAATAGGCACATGGAAAGATGCTCAACATCATTAGTCATTAAGGAAATGCAAATCAAAACCACAAAGAGATACTACTACACACCCATTAGGATGGTCAAAATTTTTTTAATGGAAAATAACAAGTGTTGTCAAAGATGTAGAGAAACTGGAACCCTCAAATTAGTTGTAGGAAATTGGAACCCCACTGCTGGTGGGGACGTCAAATGATGTAATCTCTGTGAAAACCGATTTGGTAATTCCTCAAGAATTTAAACAAAAAATTATCATATGATCCAGCAATTCCACTCCTACGTATATAACCAAAAGAATCGAAAGAAAATTGGTGTTCCAACAAAAATTTGTACACACATGTTCATAGTAGCACTATTCACAATATCCAAAGGTGGAAATACCCCTAATGTTCGTCAACTGGTGAATGGATAAACATGTGGTATATCTATACAATGAGCTTTATTCAGCCATAAAAAGGATTTAACTACATGCTAAACATCAATAAA